CCCCCCCCCCCCCCGGCTCTGGTTTATTCGGTCTTCAACGCAATTGGCCGCAAAACTTGATCGAGCACGTGCATCATCATCATCACACACACGAAACACACCTTGATGTCCTTCTGCAGCTCATTGCACAGGTCGTTCGTGGCCATGTACCGCTCGTCCTTGTCCCAGTTGCTTGTCTTCTCAAGCAGGCTGTTCAACGTCGCGCTCATTCCGCCGCCGCTGTTCCCTCCTCCCGCGAGCCCAGACATGATGATGGTCGAGGCCCGCAACCAAACAACGAAAGCTTTGTTCCGCAGCAGCAAGAAGGGGGCCAAGTCAAAATTATCCCCCCCTGTTAGTCGTCGGTGCGATGGCTGCCGGATTTCTCTCGTCCGGTACCTTTACTGTTGTGGTTGGTACGGGAATGCAACGAGCACAAGCCAGGGTGTCACCAAGGGTGTCGACAAGCAGCACGTATCACAATACTTCGTATTAATAGTAAATTATACCAGTAGTATTTTTGATGTGTGCAAGGATTTGAGGGGGGCGGCGGCACCACATGGAACACCGCCGCGTGTTGTTGACGATAGTTCACATGCTTGCCCCATAAAATCGACAGGGTGCAATCTTCAATTTGTTTCTTCGGGAGAGCGTGCCAAGCTGCGCTGTATGAACAGTCATCAATCGAGCTAGACAGAGCGTCATCACAAAGAAGAGCTTGCTTGGTTGACATGCGGACACGGCTGTGGGCGCTTTGCAGGGCACCACATGGAAAAAGAGAGCGAGCGCGCGCTGCACAGGCTTTGACAGAAAGGACAAGGGGGTCAGCTCACCATAGGGCGGCTAGAAAAGCAGCATAGCCCGCACCACCACACGACTGAAAAGCCAGCGGTACGATTCCCGAGTCCTACCGCATCGCTGACCATGAGGCAAAGTAGCAACACAAACCAGCAGAGGGCGGGCGCAGGGCTGCCTGCCTGCTTGATATCCAAAGAAAAATCAAAATTATGCTCTCTCCGCTGGTGGGTGTGGAACCAAAGACCGGGGCAGAGGATCGTACCGCAATGCACACACGATTCACGCCATGGTCCACCTTCAACAGGAAATGTAGATCAACCCTCGACCCCGCCGTGCTTCACCTTGTTCACTCTGCAGCCGAGTCTCGTATCCGTCAAAGCATTCGAGGTCGCGAGAGCCCCAACAAGCGCCCCGCAGAACCTTTTGGGCATTTTTTTCCCGGGAGTTCCAGCCGCATGTCGGGTCGGGGATGCGCGAAGGCCTTGGCGTCGTCAGATTGGCGGAAGTGTGTGGGTTGTGGTTTAGCGAGCGTCATAGCAGCAGCGACGGGGAGCAGCAGCGCGGCAGACACACCCCAGCAGCAGCAACCATGACCAACGTGTCGAACGAGCTGGTGTGGTCCCTGGTGCGGAGGAACACCTGCTTCCTCTACAAGAGGAATGGCCAGACCAAGAGGTGAGCAAAGCTACGACGTACGCTACGAGACCAGTGATGGGTGCCGATGTTGCGTGGGGAAGCCGTCTCGTGGCCAGCAGGGAAGGGATGCTTGACCAGAGTGGAGCTCTGGTGCGGGAGGGTAGTTGCTCCCAGGGAGAGATGAGCTAGGCTCAGAGCTGGGTCGTCGAGATGCGTGCCGAGGACAGCAGTGCCTCCCTCAGAGTTCTAGTGTTCGCTGCCCTCCATTTGCACCGACCGCCGCATATTTAGGACACAGCGACCTTGTAAATAGGCTGGTGCCGCGGAGAGCGGAGCTTCGACGCCGGTGTTTTTCCTCGTTTCTGCTAGGCAACGTGATGCCTTCCGTCTCCAGTACAGTTATTCCTTGATGTGTAGATCGGGTTTGCTTATACTCGCTTTGTCGCGCTGCTGTGTGCTGTGTGCGTTGAGTCGAGCCACTCCGTGTACAGCGGTACGCGTGTCCCCATCTGTTGGATCTACGTTGGGCAAGTGTTGACTGGGTGTCCGGCAGTAGTGTGTGCCTGCTGTGTCTCGTTTTGTGACCCAGGCCCCCAACTACTCCTCCCAATGGCAGTGATGCTGACCGAAAACAGCCACTCTCCGATGAAGCCGGCAAACGATACGTATGTCCCAGACCCCCGACCGAATGTTGATGTTTCACTTACTGAGACCCAGCAGAGGCGTTTACGTGTACTCACGAGTACGGAGTTGATGGTACACCGATAGCAATAGACTGTATCCTGCCATTCCGAGCACCTCTGTGCGGTAACCATCCCGGTAGATTCCACCTTGTGGCATGATTACTATCGCTCATGTCTGTTCGGCGAAACCAAATATTCTTATTCTGGAGATATTGAAGAGCTCACCCTTTGTTTTGCTTTTGTTGTACTTGTAGCACTTCGAAGTACCATTTTTTGAGCGTGCTGCAAGTACCATTTTTTGAGCGTGCTGATGCTGAAGAACTCCGTGGGCAACAAGGGAAACAGCTGCTTGCCTCGAATGCTCGCAACATTCAACACCACAGCACTACAGTAGATACATCCTGCACTGCGCAAAACCGGCGCTCTATTGTTGGAAACCGAACTTGATATATCTCTGTTTCTGGGGGATGCAATGCCCGATAACGGACATGGACTGCTTGAAAAATAACGCAATTGGGAAGCCGTAGGACACCTGATCTCGCAACATCCAACACCACAGCACTACAGTAGATACATCCTGCACTGCGCAAGAAGCGGCGCTCTATTGTTGGAAACCGAACTTGATATATCTCTGTTTCTGGGGGATGCAATGCCCGATAACGGACATGAACTGCTTGAAAAATAACGCAATTGGGAAGCTGTAGGACACCTGATCAGCACGCAGCAAGCCTTGGTTAATTTTTGTCAAAAGATTTCTACGTGGCGTCGGTATTGACTCGAGAGGGGAAGGGAAGTGATGACGCCCTGGCACACGCGACTTATTTTGGTGGCGCGTTTGTCGCGGGTACTTGAACCCACTCGCGAGCACGCGTCCGCCTTGCTGAAACGCCGCACGCCTTCGCTCTTGAGCGACGGCCGCAGTCTGATCCTTTTCTCTCACTTTGTCGTTCTCTCCCGGTTCCCGTCTTGTGGCCCATCTCATAGACCCAGGACTTGTCTTCATATACCCATCCTCTGCTGCATTTGGCACCTTACGCGCTCTATTTATTCTGCGGTGCCCCTTTGATTTTGCGTGCTGACGCACATAAAAATCCCGAGGTCTCTCCTTCTCACTCGAGAAATTCCCTGTTTGTTTCGACTGTGACAAAACGACGATGATTACAAACAGGTCCGGCAAAGTCGTTCTGACGGCCGAGCCCAACAACTTGACGAACGTCAACTCGTACAAGTACTCCGGCCTCGCGAACAGCAAGGCCGTCGGCATCCAGTTCGCCAAGGACCCCAAGGACCGCCCGTGCGCCGCCATCACCCTGAAGGTGCGTGTGCCTTAGTCCCTCCTCTCGTCTTGTACTCCACGAAAAGTTCTGCTGAGCGTTAGGGCACACCAATGATGGAGTCTAAGTTTTGGCGCGCTGTGGGGGCACTACTGCGTGTCATGGACGAATGGTCGGGGCTCGCGTGTCCCTTTTTGTACGGTGCATGCTACACACGGGAGCAATGCACATGTGGATGGTTCAGGTTTAGACTTAGCCCTCGCATAGCCCTGATGGTGCAGCGTGTGCTACATCACACCAGACGGAGAACACAAACAAACGATGAGGGTTGAGATTAGTTGCCTATTCGCTTTATGAAGTTCACAGTAAGCATGGTCAAGCAGTCCCAGCAAGCAAAACACATTGATGGTGTTCATTCCAAAGTGTGCGGGGACAGCGCAGTAGAGCACGCAACTTGAATCTTTCCCGTGTTGCCTCCAAGGCATACCGTTTTATCATGAAAGGACAGCAGTGTTGAGTCGGACTCTCCCATGGTCGTTCTACAGGCAATGCACACCTTACCGTTGAATCCACAGAAGTATGCACATCCGCCTTGTTTCGAAAGAAAAGCATGTGACCCTATGGTCCATCGTCTACATCATTTGGTTGCCATTTGTCTTAGTTTTTTTCGTCGGTGAACAATGCAGTACATGCGTTTTCATGCGCACCAGAGCCGGGACGCGAACGCGTGGTTTACACAGGCCGCGGCATCGCTCCCTCGCCTTTTAGCGCGCTCAGAGAGTCTCTGTCGTTCCGCAGATCTTCCCTACTCCGGTGGTGGCAGATCGGGCTCGGCAAAGCTCTCATTTCATGAGGCACAAGCGCGGCGGAAAGCTCTAGATCAAACCCCAGACTTGCACGCGTCGAGAACGCTGTCGGGTTCGTCCTGACGCGGATCCGCACCGCACTGGCTCTATATTCCCATCCTTGGGCGATGCTGTCTCCCTGTAAAGTTCGATAGTCCGCCTTTTTCGAGAGGAGGGCTTGAGAACTGCTTGGCGGGGGGCAGCGATTACGTGTCGGGGAATAACCATAGAGCACACATTCGCGTTTCTTTCGTCCTTTTTTTCTTTTCTTGTTTCGAACGACGCTTATTCATGCACCCTCCCGCAGAAAAGCCTACTGTTGTGCGTGCACACGCGTCACGGCCGACGTACGATGACGCACCGTCCCATGCTGTGTTGTCCCCGGTGTTGCTCATCTGTCATTCGTCTGAAGAGCTCTGCTCCAACGATCTTGTCCTTTTTTTGTGAACCATGGTTGGCTGACCGCACCACTCTTGTCATTGTTTGAACGTTGGCACGCCGGCAATCTCACCCTTTTCTTCCGCAAGCTGGACTGCAGACAATTTTGCATGTACACTTGTGCTGTACTCGGTGTTTTCCACCACGACATCGGGTGGCACCGTGAACCGACTAAAAACGCTGTCTAGCTTTTGGCGGTAAGATCATTGTTTCCACGGCGCGTCCCATGTGATGAGGGATTTTAGCACATGCCGCCACATGATGCGTCATTTTTAATCGAAAAGCATGTCCTCGCAGGGTCATTGTGCCATCCTTTTCACCAACCCCCCCCCCCCCG